AGAAGGCTATACGATGGTTAAAATAGAATTGGATGACAAAAGGATTTGGTGTCGACATATTGACCACATCATACGAAGGACCGTCTCAGGAAATGATGATGAGTATGACCCCCTCCTCAGCAATGCCTTGGAATTTGAAGAGTCACGGTTCTGATACTGATAATCCTCCAAATAATAAAGAAGTCCCAATCAATGATGAAGTGGACTCAACTGATAATGAAGAGCTCCCAAGGGAAGCAACCCCAGAACAAATCGATACAGGTCAAACAGATGGAGTACGAGAAACTTGTCACTCTACAAGGACTAGACCCCCTATTAATAGGTATGCTCCTACCTCAAAATGAGGAGGGAGGAATTGTAATGTATTAATCATTGATCATATGTTATTACTATTATTGTTATTATTATTGTTATTATCATTGTAGTTGTTGTTATTGTTAATGTATTGTATTATGATTTGTATAGTTATTATTAAGTGTATAGTTATTATTTAGTGTTTAGTTATTAGTAGTTATTGTTATCACTATTATCACACTGCAGTGTCGACTTTTTATTCATGCAATTGTAATTATAACATAACTCTTCAACTGCCAAAGAACCCTGCTGTATAGCTGCCTCAAACACTCCCAGATATAACAATTTTAACGATTCCTCAACAGTTGATAATGTACATGGATGCATACCATGTACATGTACATCAATATGTATCAGTAAAACATTGGAGTGATTTCAGAGCCAAAGTAAAATCCCTAATTTCACAGTTGCATATAATACATGTAAACCATATACCGTATGAAAGGAAATTTTGGAGGTAGTTAAATTTGGCGAATTTGGCATTTTGATAGCCATTTGCCAAAATAAAAATTCGCCATTTTGAACCATTATGCGCATGCTCAATGGCACATGGCCACAAATTCGCCAAATTAAAATTCGCCAATCATCCAAAATTTAGCAATTCGCCAAAATTTAGTCCCTCCAAAATTTCCTTCTGTACGGTACCTCACTAAAGTAGATCCACACTATACAGTATTACATTGAATTATGGTATAATTACTAATAATAATTATCATTCTCATATTCCTTAGCTCCAAATGGTTGCCAGTTATGAGGAGAGATGATGGAGAGATTGAGTCCTTTTCATTTGATATTAGTAAATGTGATCATGTGGATATAGCTAACTCACTGTGGGGACTATCAACAAATGGAGTTTTGCAGGATTGCAATTAAAAAGTAAAAATTAAAATGATGCTTAGAAATTGAAACAATCCATTTCATTTCCAATATCTATGTCCATGCTGAATGTTGTATTCCCTAATCCTCTTCAACCTATCAATGAGTATAAGTGATGAGGTATTTAATTAACTGATAGCCACGGTACATGTACATGATGATACATGAGGTTTACTGACCTTGCTTCCTCTGCCTCTTGTATTTCTGATCTCTCTTTATCTGTTAACTCTTTCATTCTCTCTCTCTTGTCTCTAAATAATTATAAACAGTAAGAGGTGTATGTAAGTGTGTGTGTATACATAATGTGTGTGTGTGTGTGTGTTTATTAGTACTTGTAATATATGACATGTCCATCATCATAATAATATAGTCCTAATGAGTCTCTGTCTGAACTGATGGAATACCAGTCCAACTTATTCTCAATATCTAGACATGATATCTCAACTGGAAATGATTGACTCTATAGTCAGAGAGAGAGAGAGTATCTTTAATATGTTTTAATGACTAACCTTTGTACAATAGATATACTCAGCAGGAACTCCACTTAACTCTGACAGCTGTAAAGGAATAATATAATGTGATACTGATACATGTTCTCTATTATTACAATTATGATCATTTCAAATAATACACATACCTTTCCAATAGCATGCTTAGAATCATCATTATCCGGTATAATTTCTTCTATTGGATCAACTGAACATTGTGATGGACGCCATCTTATAACATACACTTGTTTCTGGTCATAATGCCTCTTCTTCTCTGGTCCTGATACAATATAATTAATATACACATGTACTAACATTAAACTTGCATCATAAGAAGTACAGCACAATATACTGACCTTTTAATGGTTCCACATACATTTCCCTACTATAAACATCAATCAACTCATGATCAACATATACTGTAACAGGGGACGCTCTATTCTTGTAACGTAGTCTCATTCTACACAATGAGTCACATGATAGTCACATGATGTACTTACTTGTCTAATTCAAGGACACAGTCAATTCCTTGTACTTTTGCTTCTTCAATAATTTGTTTCTTAAATTCACTCACTGGTGTACCCTCAGCAACAATGGACCACATCATAAAATTACAAAACTAAGAAATAAAATAAAATATAAAATAATCATAATAATTAATATTCTATACCTCTGTATTATTAACTTGTAATAAATATAATTTAATTCGTTTCTCTCCTCTTCCTAATGCTCTACCCAGTCTTACTATCAACTAGTAGATACACAAAGTAATAAAGAGATGAGTGTGTGTGTGTTATTAGTACTTATAATAATATATAATGGAAAGGAGAAGTGAATCAAATAACACAGTAAACTATACCTCTGATCCAATATACTTTAAAGTCTCATACAGTCCTTGCATTTCATATTCTTCATTACCAATGATTTCATACACTATAAAACCAGTAGGTGGTACACCAATCAGTGGAACTAGCTCCTCCTTCAATTGAGCTAATGTTATTCTCTTATCAACTTGTACCTGTATCTCTGTATTGAATAATATAACATTATCTTTTTATTATAATACAAGTTATAATTACTTCTTTCTTTTTCTTTATTTTCTTTATTTATTGATACAAATTTTATTATTGTTCCTCTTTTAGTAACATTAGTTGTAGTAGGTGTGGCTTCAGGTCCAGGAGCCAAAGGTAGTGTAATCTTCAGTAGTATTGAGTTGACGTGAAAGTCAACATATTTGTACATCAAACTATATTCATATTCTTTTTGATAATCTTTAGGATCTGATGATACATACAGCCACTGAGTGTGTGTGTGTGTGTGTGTGTGTGTGTGTGTGTGGAAGGATAAAATAGATAGTATAAATATAATTAAATAGTTAACTATATAAGGTGAAATATTGCTAGCAGGAATTAATAAAGGCAGGTTAGTCACAAAATTAAAACCATACCAATGACTTCATTACTTGTTTGTATTGACGAATAATGAGTATATCTCTTAGGGTGCCTCCTACATTACTAATATCACGGACTGAAGTATCATATCTCCTCCTGTAACCCTCCTCCATTACTATTCTCATACATGATGATTTGATATTAAATAACTAAATAAAGAAATGGACCAGATCAATGAAAGAAGATCAATATAAATGACAGTTTATCCTTCCTCTTACTTCTCCTATATGTTGTTTTAATTCTTCAACAGTCCAACCTAGCTCTCCTCCTACTATTTTAGCTGGTCCTACATCACCAGTTGACATATCAACCACTGATACCTTTAGATTAATACCTACACCATCAAACACATGTACATGTAATCAGAGGTTTTGTCATGGTAACAAACCACACCCACCTCCCGAATTGTATTTCTTAAACGTTTCATTTTCTTTACGAGTTTCTAAGAATAAGCAATAATCT